CAATCTTACTAAATTTAGGGATATAGTGTTTTAAGACAATTTAAAATAGACCAATTTAACATGCTTTAATATTTTCTTGGGCTTCTGTATTTATTTATTTTGTTAGTATGAATCGTCAAGTGTGAAATGAATGAGTTCAATTCAAAACTACCTTCTTCTTCTTCTTTTACTGTAGAATGTGTTGCAGTTGATGCTGCTGTAAACAAGGATTGAACCAACCAGTAGAGTTCCAAGTCTCTGCCAAATGGCTCTTAGTAGTATTCATGTTTTATGCTAAGCCTTGGATTATATGGAATGGGGAAACTAAATAAACTCACCGGCTGATTTGGAATATCAACTTCTTGTATCCATTGCAAGGAAGACAAGGGAGTTAAACAAACAGGGACAGGCCACGTTTTTGTTCCAATTGCCTGTTAACCGATGTCCAAATTTGACCGAGCCAACCCTGTTTGACATGATTCAAAATCCTTCTCATTCAACCGCCACAGAGCAACCCTGGTGCAAGTTAAGGGTTTAAACCGCTAGACACATACATGGCAACCGGCATCATCAAGGCACGTAAACGGGGAACGTGTTGCCTACAGACTACAGAGTTAACAACCACCGATAAAATAAACTGAAAAGCATAGAGCATGCTTGTTCATCCATGAAAGGCGCCTAGGAGGAAAGTAGATGTGTGGTCAATGACCTCAAAGCTTATCAAGAAATAGGTCTATAGGCTGCTCAATCATACAAAAACATGATTTTGCTCAATGCATTTCAGATTTAGAATTGATACCAAAATTTAGCAGAAAATGAAGTTCGAGCCACAGATTATAAACAGCAGCCAGTTTGGGTCTTGTTGTCAGTCCATATTACTGCGGCAAAAGCATATATATTAAGATTAAATAGAGATAATTTTATTCTCTTTAACCATCCCTAAAACAAAAGAAAAAGTGGAGCAGATAATCCTTTCCCCCTTTTCCCTCACTCGGTCCTATACAAATCCAAGTTCTCTTCTTTGATTATTTCCCTCCATTGAATCTAACCAAAAGTTTAACAAAAATTAAAAAAAAATCACTAAATTGTAGTGAATAATAAAAAGGAATAGGAAAAGGCAATCAAAATGAATCCCATCTCATCTTTTGAAGAAATTATTGTCAATGTGATGCGAGCTGTGCCTTAGATCTCTTCTTCGTCTCACTGTAAAGCACCACCCCCAATGTCGTGACGGCGAATCCGGTCATTCCCATCACGGTGACCGGATTCCTGAAGATCATAACCGATACACACGCTGCCAATGCAGCTTTGGCGTTGCCCAACACCTGCAAAGTGAGGGCGCTTGTATGCTTGGTAACCAAAAAATTCGTCAAATTCACCAAGTAGGCCACCGTAGCATTCCCAAGCAACAAGAAAACAATGAAAGAATCACTCCTAGCTGTCTCTAATGTGACGCTCATAACGTTCCCTTCGATGTATAGAGTAAATGGTAACAAAATTATGGAGGCCATAGGCGCCATGTACAACAACAAGTTCATCGAATGTAGCTTCTCGGCTTCACTGGTTAATAAGATCCCTTGAACCACGGATTTCAAGGCACGAGCAGCGGTGGAACCGATGCAGACCAGGAAGCCAAAAAGGTTAAACAGCGGTTCACTGTTACTAGCCAATACGATCCCGAACACCACGGGCAAAAGCGTGAAATAAACCTCGGCGGATTCCTTCTTGCAAGTGATTAAGAAAGCGAAAATGGCGGTGAAGAAAGGCGTCGTGGCACCAATAGCTTGGTTAAATGACACCGGGATGTATCTCAAGGAAGTGTTGCCGCACACGACGGAGAAACAGAAGATGAGGCTCAGAGCAAAGATCTTGAGGAACTGTTTACTCGACAAAATGTGTTGCCTTGGGACTATTTCGAGGAAGTTTATGGCTACGTAGCTGTAAGAAGCACACGAGATCATGTGAAGCATGGTGAGGAAGATCGGATAACGGTAGCCATAGAAGCTGAGGAGATACTTGTTGAGTAAAAGGACACCAATGTTGGAAATGAACCAGGAAGCAATGATCAGGGCCGTCAAAAGGTTAGGAGAGAGATGGGATCCAACGGTGTAGATATTGTTCCTAACGTCGGCACTTGGGGTCACCGGAATGTCCAAAACCTCGTGGTCGGCGGTGGCCGTTGAGTCCAGTCTCGGGTTGCTCATCCGCCTTGTAGTCCATGTCTGCGCTTCCACCATCTGGTTGTTCTGGGATGTCTGTAAAGTTTGTAACTTTGAAGCTTAAAGACTCAAACTTCGATTTGTTTTTTTCTTTGGGTTTTCTCCTCTCTCCAAGGATCAAATCAAAAGGAAGAATTCCCCCTACCCCTATTTTTGCCTTGTGTTATTTATCAGATAGAGTCAAAGAGAGGAGGATATGCTTGAGTAAGGTGATCTAATCCGAGGGTGGAGATCTAGGTTGAAAAAGTAGACAAATGGGAAGCGTTGGATTAGAAGAAAGGGCAGGTTGTAGCATCCAATTAGATTTGGTGGTGAAAGGAGTTTTAAAGTTGGCGGGGGTGTTGTCGGTAATGGATTTGCCAACAAGCAAGCTGACTCTGGTCTGAATCTCAACTAGACCATTTCTCTTTTACATGATTTTCAGAACCGAATTAGTTAACGAACCGATCATGCTATCGATTTATTGGTTTAACCGGTTGAACTGGTCTTCGTCATAATTATTTAAAAAATTAAATAAAAAAACCAAAAATATTTAATAAAAAATAATTTTTTATATCACAAGTCATATTCAAAGCAAGTCATAACATATATAAGTTAAAAATCATAAAATCAAGTGAAACAAAATGATTCAAATTAACTACAACATAATATTTAAGGTAAAACATATTAAATAATAAATATAATTATATAACTATAATTAAAAAATAAATTTGGGGCTAAAAAAATCATAATAAAATGATATTATTTGGTTTAATTTTTTTTTTTAAAAACAATCTCACATGGTTAAGAAACATAGAAGAGCATCCCAAAAGTCTAAAGAGTAAAAATATGAGAACAAAACAATCTCATATGGTAAGAAACATAGAAGAGCATCACAACTAACTTCTATAAATAATAGATGTAATTTGACAATCAAAATCATGAAGCCTTTTGATGAACATTGAGTGAACTATTGTTTCACTTCAATCAAGCTCGAATTTTAGGCTTCAATTGTGTTTCTAATTTTTTTAGTTCAAGACTTTTTGAGTTCAAGTTTCAATATTATATTTCGAGTTTGAGTTGAACTAGATAATTTTTAGTTCGTGAGTTTGAGTCGAGTTGAGCTTACTTTTAAAGTTTTCAAGTTCGAGTCGAGCTCAGCAATACTCGAGTTCGACTTGGCTCGTTTAACAAACGATGTCGTTTGGTTTAATTTTTTTAAAACAAAAAAACAAATTTGGCGGTTTTTTTTTGTTTTCAGCCGGTCCGGTTAGAACGGTTCAGCGGTTCTGATCGGTTCACTAGTAGCGGTTCAATCGGTGTAAATTGAACCGGACTAGGTAACGGTTCCGGTTGAACCGGCCGATCCGATCCGATTTTCGAAACACTGCTCTTTTATTCTTTAAAATTTAATTTAATTTAATCTTAGAATGAGATATCTAATTAATTTTTTAGGTCAATATCCTAAATGAGATATATAATCAATTTCTTAATTATTTTAGTTATTTTCTTCTAATTTTCATTAATCTTTCTTTCTTGGTTTTCTTTTTAATTTGAGGTGATAAGAAAATATAAAGACCGATCGATTAATACCTTCAATTCTAAGTCGAATTCTTTTTTACTCTTAGTTATTAAAAATCATTTTTTCGAATTAATAAATTGATTCATTAACTTGATATTATTTAAATAGTTTGAGTTCGAGTCATTATAAAAAAAAATTCCCTAAACTTTGGTTTCAATTAGTTATATTTTTAGGTGGTTAACAGAACCCATATTACATGTGCTTCTTATTAAAATAATTATATAAATAATCTTATTTTATTTGTTAGGCCACGGCCCACGGGAAAACAAGGAGAAAAAGCTCCATATTACACGTGCTTCTTATTTGGGCATGGTTTGGATCTTGCAGTCATTTGGAGCCAAGTTCTAGCTTTGAATGGGTTCAAAGATTTTGTATCCACCTGTTTGTTTTGGATTTCTTTCCCTCTTAAATCTTACTAAGATGATATAATTATAATTAAATATTAAGAAAGATTAAACTATAGTATGTTAAAAAGGTTATTAAATATTAAAATTTAAAGTTTTAGAGGAGTAAAGAATTTAATTTATTAATATTTAAATACAAAATTTAAGATATTATTGTATAAAAGTAAATCAAAGACCTACATATCACAAGATTTTATTTTACTTTTCTTGATGTGTGATCTTTGTATTTTGTTTCTCTAAAACGTAATATTTCTCTCAATCTTTTGACGATGATATTATATATAACTACTATAATCTTATTGAAATGTTTAACGTAAAATTGGACAATAAAAAATTTATTATGATATCATTTAGTACGAGACAACTATCATCATCTCAACACAATAATTTATATTAAATGTAAAATGTATCAGTTGGGATCCAAAATTTTAAGAATATAGGTATAAAATTTTAATATTTTTTTTTTAAAATAATGGGTATGTAATTTTTTTTTTTTAATAGATTTTTTACTTTTTATTTTTTTCTTCTAAATAATAAGGAGTAATATAAGGGGCTTAGTGTATCCGCCCTAGTATATATATATATATATATATATATATACTTTCTAAATTCTATAATCTATCTTTTTCTTTGTAACATGAGATTAGTATCTTTCACCTGCGATAATGCCTCATCCAAATCCCTTAATAGCACAGTTCCTAATTACAAAGATATATAATTTGAATGCAGGATGAGGAAGATGTGCAATATAGAAAGTTTGGCATATTATTGAACGACAGCATTAAAAAGAGCGACATATGAACGAAATCAACTGCAACTCCATAACTAGTGTCACAATTCCAAGCTTAGAAGACCCCCCATCACCATCACCATCACCATCACCATCACTGCACCTTGCAGCAAGCAACCCACCACCTAACCTGCAAACATTACCCCAAAACTCATTCCTAAAGCTCTTGAAGCTGCAGTGAGGACTCGGATTTTTTATTTCTTCCTCGGAGAACACTCTTTGGAGAGAAACCGATAAAGCCAGAAGACAGATTGCTGCCATTGTTACTACTACTACTGCTACTATCGAGCTGCAGAGAAATGGAGAGGTTTTTGTCGGCATTTCGATGGCTAACACGACTACTATTGGTGGTGGTAGCTTGAGAAGCTTCCACAAGCTTTCTTGAACGCTGGCGGCCTCTGTGCACGTGTCTCTCGCAGTATTTGTGATCCGGGACTGTTTTTTTGCTGCACCTCCATTTCTTCCCATCTGTTCTTCTACATCTTCCTGGCTCTGGATCCACCCCATTCTTGTACTCCAAGGGCAATGATCCACAACCCAAATCTGGACCAACATCCGGCAAAATGATTAACCAACAAAAAAGAAATGTACACTACGGAGATGGGTACTGGGCACTCACATCCGGAGTAGAGTTCATAAGGGCCGCCGTGGAGTCCGCCGAGAGAACCGGCAACACTTTTCCAAATAGGGAGGAGAAGGTGAATAGGTACAGGTAGAACAGCTTCCATGTACTTGTAGATGAGAGATTGAAGCTGTAGTTCCTGCAGTTGAAAAACTGTGAACCCACATGCTTTTGTGAACCCGGTTGTTCTATGACTAGACCCTCGTCCAAGCTCGAGGCCTAGCTCGATTGGAGGCGACCCTTCTCCTCCTCCGCCACTCAACATATTACCACTCTCCATGTTCCAGGAGTCACCCAAATTTGTAAGTCCAATCCCTGCAAAAAAAAAAAGGAAAAAGGAAAAAAAGAGGAGTTACCAATGCATGATAACCAAAATTTCTTTTTTAGAGTAAAAAGAGAGGGTATAAAGGTAGAGTACCGATGTCTGCAAAACGAGCAATCTTGAGAGATGAGTGCTGGGGTTTCATTTTATTTTTGTATCAGTGTGTGCACAAATCAGAGAAGAGGAAAACCAAAAGGGGTCAAACTCAAATCAGAGGTTGCAGTATGAACTGCAACATACACTGAATTAACAGTAGTAAAAGGGAAAGAGATATAGACAGAGATTCTGAAAGTTGCAGCAGTTGGAATAGATTTTTCAAGTCAGAAAAAAATTTAGTTCATGGCAGAGATGGAGTGAATGGGGATGAGTGAGGGGAAGGGAAGGGTATCTTCTTAAATGAGTTTTTCTTTTTCCTTTTCAATATAACAAAAACAAAAAATGAAAATTCTGTGTTTATAAAACTGACAAATGCAGCAAGTAACACCAAGCAAGCACGCTCCAGTTGTTTTCCTATGAATCCTTGTCCCTATCCAAACATAGAGAGAGAGAGAGATTAAAGTGAGACTGAAACTGTTCTGACATGTCAGACAAACTATGCAGGGTGTTTGCAGACACAAACGCGTATGTCAGGAGGTCAGGAATCGTGACAAGTAGAAAACTCGGGACCCGCGGAATATGACAAAGAGGACAGTCTACTTTTTTTTGGCCTTTTCCCTTCTTATGAACAAGCAACACTTCGATTTTCATTTAACACCAGAAGGCGTGAGTAAAGCAAGCAAGCGCGCGTACACACACATATATATATATATATATATATATATATATCAGCTGTTAGCATCCTTATACTACTATATTAAAGTAGATGATCTAAATCTACAACTTATATATGGTACAAGCACTACTCATAGAATTTAACCTTTTTTTTCTATTTCAAGTGCACCAAAGTAAACAATAATTCATCAGATAACTTTTTTACCTTAGGGAGGATGTTACAAAATCTAATACACTCCGTTTCATGTATGTTTTGCTTTTCCAACTTTCATTCTGTGACTGTTCAAGTGAATTTCCACTGCAATAGAAATGAAAAGCAAGATCTGCTTACTTACACTGTCCATGATGAGAAGCTGGAATTAGTTCTTGGCAAATCAGACATTGTATAGGTAGAGCTAGTACAGATCTTTTCTGTCATTAGTACAGCAAGTTCAGACATGGAATCACCCATGGTTTACTCGTACAAAAATATCATGTGATTTCCCAGCAAGACCGACAGAGGAGGAACTGGGAAGTGCAAGCCATGAGAAAGAACAAGAGGTTTGTCTCAGCAAATCCTCTAAATGATACTACCGTAGAAACACAAACATGCACCCTGCTTCGTGGCGCTGCACATCAAGCAAACTGGGAATTTGAAATGAATCAACCAGCAGAGGAGTGTCGTAATAAGTTATCGGTATGCTGGAGTCGGAAATTCTCGTCTAACCATCCTTGATTCAGAGATGAAGGAATGTGCCTCCCTGGCCAAACTGAACAACAACAACAACAACAAAACCCTGATTCCCATATGCAATGGGATAAGGGGAGGTAGGGTAGTAGGTTGACCCCAACGCCAGGTTGAGAGCAGCTTCCGTGGAAGACCTCCGGCAGTCAGAAAATTTAAAATAAAGATAAGATGCAAATGCGTGTATAAATAAATAAATAAATACATAGATGAACAATCTTCATATGCAGTCTTGATATGTGCGTCTGTAATGGGAGTAATCCCTGTAAATAATTCCCTGCAAATAATTCCCTACATAGAAATCTCTGCATATAGACTGAAAATGTAAGACTCAGCTAAATTTAAAAAGAGGAAACATGAATAGAAATGATACACAGAAGTTAATAATAGCAAGCTATGAGAAGGAATAAATTCAAATGAGTTAATTCTTAAACTAAGGCAACACTACTCTGATACCCTAGTTCTAAGCCTTCATACATTTCAATGACAGAAACATGTATAAAGTAGAAGTCATGGAAAGTACTACAAAGACATTAAAAAGAAGACAGAGATGTTACACCCTATGGTTGTGAACCGCACTACTCAACTACCCTGGTCTTAAGTCTCCATACTTTCCTATCAGAAGTCATGTCCTCGGTAAGGGCTAATTCCTTCAAATCAGATCTCAAGCAGTCTTCCCACTTCCGTCTTGGTCGTCCTCTCCTTCTGACACCGTCGACTGTAATCGACTCTACCCTCCTGACCGCATCCGACGGTTGTCGCCTAAGGACATGCCCAAACCACCGTAGTCTTCCCTCCTTCAATTTTTCGGATACAGGCACCACCCCAAGTACATCCTAATAGCATAGTTAGGTTTCATGTCCCATAGAGTCCTACCACATGTCCATCGAAGTATTCTCATTTCTGCGGCCTTCATCCTCCTTACGTGATCCTTCTTGATTGCCCAACATTCTGATCCATACAGCAGTGCTGGTCTTATTGCCATTCTATAAAATTTTCCCTTTAGTTTTAGAGCTTGTCACACAAAACTCCAGTAGCAGCCCTCCACTTTAGCCATCCCGCCTTTATACAGTGTGTAACGTCTTCATCTACATCCCCATCTTTATGTATCATAGACCCTAGGTACTTGAAACAATCATTTGAGGGGATAATGTGTCTTTCTATGCATACTTCTACATCTTCATCGTTTTGGTTTCCACTGAAGTTTGAACATACATAATTTGTCTTTTCAATATTGATCCTTAGACCTTTTTCTTCCAAAGCAGTCTTCCAGGTAGCAAGTCTACTATTAAGCTTAGTTTTTGTTTCAGCAATTAGGACAATGTCGTCAGCGAAAAGCATACACCATGGAACACCGTCTGGTGTCGCACAATAGATGTCGTCCATAATCAAGGCGAAGATGTAAGGGCTAACAGCCGATCCCTGGTGGAGTCTGATTTCCACCGGGAATGCCTTGGTGTCGCCAACTGTAGTCCTGACGGTAGTAGTAGATCTACAGTACATATCACGAATCACCCGGATATAAGCAGTTGGGATCCGTCTCGTTTCCAAGGTCTTCCAGATCGTATCGTGGGGAACGCTATCATACGCCTTCTCAAGGTCAATGAACGCCATGTGAAGATCACTCTTTTTTCCCCTATATTTCTCCATAAGTCGTCGAAGTAGATGAATCGCCTCCGTAGTAGACCTGCCTGGCATAAAGCCAAATTGGTTTTCTGAAATCCTAGTAACTTGTCTCAACCTAGCCTCTATTACCCTTTCCCATAGCTTCATGGTATGGCTGAGTAGTTTAATACCTCTGTAGTTGTCACAACGTTGGAGATCTCCTTTATTCTTATAGATTGGTATCACCGTAGACTCTCTCCACTCCTCTGACATCTTGACAGTCTCTAAAATAATATTAAAGATGTTTGTCAACCACTTAACTTCCTCTTCTCCTAAGGTCAACCACACAGTGATAGGAATTTGATTTGGACCGACAGCTTTGTCCCTCCCCATCTTTCTAAGAGCCATTTTGACTTCCTCAAACTCAATCCTACTTGTAGGGCAGTCATTGGCCGTAGTATGATGGTCGGCTGACCCATCAACGATATTATCTATATTCAACAATCGCATCCTAGAGATTTAGACATATGCATGGGGTATAAACATCCAAATATATAAACAAACAAAAAAAACGATCATACTTGTGTAAACACATACTCGTATCTGACACACTATAACTAAGTACAGGTGTGGACTCCTCTCTTTCCAAATTTAATAAATATCAACACTTGATGTAGAAGTATAGGCGTGGACTACCCATAAAAAGAACTTTTATAGTGTCATTCCATGTGGCAAAGAAGTCCATACAAAGTGCATTATATAAAATATAAAAATTGGAACTCAGTCGGGTTGGTGGTTGAATCAAGGTAAATTTCTAAAAAGAGACGGATACAAAGTTCAAGTGCATACACAATTCAGAAAATTGTTCAAAAAGGAGTCCTCAAAAGCTCTATATGGTTTAACTTTTCAAATCCCTACCTCAAGCATTTTCAAAAAGCTAAAAAAAAATTAATTATTAATAATGACATAAAGCAAATAAAGTTGGGAACTAGGGAAGACCATTAACTGACAATAAGAACGGTTGTTCTTCTAAAAACACTTACATATTAGTAAATATTTGCCAATTTTCAAGAACGTTGGTATAAGATATTGAAAATCAAGTCAAGAATATATGTGTTTTTCTCGAAAAATCATCGGTGATCGGTATATTTATCGATATAACACCGGTCAGATTATATTTCTCAATTTAACACCCGTAGTAGTAAAGCGCGCCCTTTGAAATATGCTGATTTGGCGTCACGTGGAGTATAGCACGCCCCATGTACCGCGTTATACGCTGACTGGATTACATGTGGGGTATAGCGCCCCCTGCTCCGCGCTATACGCCACGTAGGGGTATAGCGCGGATCAGGGGAGCGCTATACGCCGTACCAAAATTATATTTAATGCGATCCCTGGTCCGCGCTATATAATAATTACATATGACGCTGTGCAGGTACCATGCCTTATATGTTTATAAATACACTCCTCCGGTTCTCACATCTCCTCGTATCTCTCATCTCTTATAAATTAATACAACAATTCCGTCAACGAGTAATAATTCTGGCAATCTTCTCATATTTGATTTAGAAGTTCGTGCGCTTTTTCGTTATAAGGTAATTTTGTTATAATTTTTTAATTATACTTATTGTTTATTATCATTATTTGAAAAAATATTATACTAATTATTTTCAATTAATTTTTATGTTTGTAAAATTGAAAAGTGAGAGCATACGTCGAAATAGTTTTGCGGTGCAAGTAATAATATAAAATTATATCATTTAAATTCAATTATTTTTTTTACAGATATAATATTGACGCACTTTTTAACTCAAAGAATGGCGCGACTTTCAGCTATTGTTTATTATGATGGTGAAATTCGAGAAGATGAAATCGGCGTTGTTTTCGTATCAAATGAGCGTGTTAAAATATCATTCAAGAGAAACATAACTCTTGAGGAGCTGATAACGAAGATTTCGAGGAAGATTCATGTTGGAAGTAGTAGAAGAATGTCGTCGTTGCAGTACAGATTTCCAACATCATTGTTGCCATTAAATTATACAGCGTTCGAACTTTCGAACAATGATGATGTTCAAATGATGGTTGAAGCTCAAAGTAATTATTCAGACGCCGCTATTGAGATGCATGCACATTTTGTTCAAGTGCGTGTTATTTGGGGTCAATCTTTAAGCTCACACTATGTGCTGGCTGAACAAGTTGATCAAGTTGACAACCCGACAACAGTAATGTGTAATGATTTTAATGCCATAATGGGGAGACATTCATCCGCAACTCCTTACGATATGTACCGAGGTGGGTCGACGAAC